ACGTACGACACCCACTACAAAGCGTATTTAACCCCGACATTGTTTCAAAATTGAAACGATACGCACCTGCTGCACAGTTCGCCGTCGTCCAAAGAGACTACTTCCTTCATTATTCCTTTAAAACCGCCACTTAAAAAAATCATTCCTCTCGCAACATACCTATCATTATTAAATGTAACACATGGTTTTTTTAACCCCGTCAGATTTAAACGCGTGGATTTTTTTTTATATTTCGGTCCGTTTTTTAAATGAGGACATAAACAAGCTAGAGGAAATAGATAAATTTTCGAGCCGATCGAAGCGTGTGTTGTATGCAAATTACGACAATAATAATGCAATGTGTTTAAAACCAACAATATATAAATTTCAACGTCCTTAAAGAAAAAGGGTTGAATAAACAAAAAGGAAAAACAATCGTACGCATTCACAGTAAAAAAAAGGACCCTATCAAACATATGCTCCTCTTTACTCATCGCGATCCGTATAAAAAAAAAGAAAGACGTTTAACGGCTTTTAATTTTTTCCCAATTTAACCCTTTTAAATCGCCCTTTTTTAAGCGGAAAAAAATTTCACGATCAATTTAATAAAAATAATGAAAGTTTTTGATTGAAGAAATTCGGCGACATATTTTTAATAAAAGAGTTATTACTTTTATCGGACGGAATATTGATGAGAGCGAGGGGGTTGGGGATCGTGCGAAGGGAAAGTCGGACGTCTTTGATTGCGATGCGTTTGGATTTTTTTTCTCTCGCGCGCCTCGCGTTTTGTGTACATATGGTCAAGCGTAACCCTTAAATTATGCCGGAGCATCTGCTTGCAAGGGCTGCATTGAAAAAAAAAGAGTAACTACGAAGAAAGTAAATTAAATAGACCAGCGCCTACTGCATATCGAATGTGGAAATTAATTTTTTGTGTGGCATCATTCATATTATTAAATAGACATGTGGGATCATTTCAATGACGTACACTCTGCACAATGTTTTTCAACCGTCATCAAAAATTCTGATTTCAGATACAAAATGACCTAGTTTTGGACGACACATTTTAAGCTGATTTAAATAGCATAAAATAATTTTATTGCATTTTGTAGCACTGAATTAGCACAAAATTTTTTTTAAAATATAAAAATAGCCAAAATTCCAGGGTGTTGCCAACTGACGAATAAAGTTGTGACAAACGGATAAAAAACATTTCTAACTGTGCACCGTGACGAATCGCATTGGCACTTGCATCACTTTTAAAATTAGCAAACAGATAGCACAAAATAATTTGATTGTAAAACTTAACTTAGTCAAAAATTCCTTTATCAGAAAAATTCGTACCTATAATACAACAATGTAGCACCACAGATATACGTAAATCTATGGTATATCTGCGGTAGCACACAGTTAGCACACAAGGAAAAAAGATTTTCGAAATATAAAAGTTGCCCAACTTCACAGTGTTGCCAACTGATGGAAAAAGTTGAGGAAGGTGGAAAAAGAACATTAGGTTTTCTGACTTTCAACTGCGACAAAGTTGTAACGTAATTAATTGCCTATGAAATTTAAAATTACAAAAAAATAGCATAAAATAAGTTAATTTCAACAAAAACCGACAATCAAAAGGAGTTTCAGCGAACTCTTGGAGACTAGTCCCTTAAATGACTCCGAAGGATTCGCAATGGACGTTTAAGACTCTTCAAATCAATTTAGAGGTGCTAATCTCTAGAAGGGCTTTGAAGTGTTTTCAAAACTGGAGTTGGAGAGTGGAGACGATCATCAAAAGCGCTTTCAGATCGATCAGAGACCATTTCTGATACATTTTGGCCTGTAGACCTGTGTGACCACCAGGGGCGGACTGGGTACTTACGGGCCAGGTGGAATTGCATAGGTTACGGGCCATTAAAGTATTAGTGTAGTAATGAAGGTGGGGTGGGGGGGGGGGGTAGCTCTTGCGGTGCACCACAAAAACATTTTTTTGCTTCATTTTAGTACTCCTTTTTCGGAAATCAATTACAATACAGTTTTTTTTTAATTGCAGCTGATAATAAAATTAAAACTTTTGATTGAGACGTCCGATCGAAAAAGTGCGATTTGTTTTGGATTCTACGCACCAAAATTAATAAGAAAAAGTGTTTTCCCGAGAAATTTTGGTGCAGTCGATTTTTGGTAAAAAAGGAAGGTTATACACTGCCTTTTTTTGAGCCCGAAAAAAAAAATTGTCTCAGATCGACCCGGAAAAAAAATTTTCTTATAGAATGTGGCCTGTAGAATCCATAATTTCAAACAGTTCCAAGATTGCGCTACTAGTTCAAAAGTTACAGCCCTTTGAATTTTCTTTCGAAATTGGTTTCTAGTCTATAACTTTTGATTGAGAAGTCTGATCGAAAAAGTACGAATTGTTTTAGATTCTACGCACCAAAATTAATAAGAAAAAGTGTTTTCCCGAGAAATTTTGGTGCAGTCAATTTTTGGTAAAAAAGGAAGGTTATACACTGCCTTTTTTTGAGCCCCGGAAAAAAAAAATTGTCTCAGCTCGACCCGGAAAAAAATTTTCTTATAGAATGTGACCTGTAGAATCGATAATTTCAAACAGTTTCAAGATTGGGCCACTAGTTCAAAAGTTACAGCCCTTTGAATTTTCTTTCGAAATTGGTTTCTAGTCAGGGGCGGGCCAGGTGGAATTGCATAGGTTACGGGCCATTAAAGTATTAGTGTAGTAATGTAGGTGGCGGGGGGTAGCTCTGCGGTGCACCACAAAAACATTTTTTGCTTCATTTTAAAGTACTCCTTTTTCGGAAATCAATTGCAATACAGGTTTTTTTAAAATTGCAGCTGATAATTAAAAGTAACAAAATATACAAACCAAACGAGGCGCGTCGCCTATCATGGTATTTCATCACTTTCATGCTACGACAAAAAATGATAAATTCATAGTAAAACACTTCAATTAAAACAGAATTTTTTAATTTTTTAACAACCTAACATCAACCCCAATTAGAGAAACGTGTTAATAACTTATTAATAGTGCAATAAACTAAATACAGCACATACTTATAAATTTCCAACGGGCCATTATGACGTACAGGCCAGGTGGCAATCGCCACCCGCCCCCCCGGGCCAGTCCGCCCCTGGTGACCACCGAAAACAAAGGTAGGTATAGCCATCAATTACTCTACCTCTATTACCCACAAGAATGTATTTGTATAAACCAATTTTCTGTTGAAAATCGAATTTTCATTTTGCAGAATCCGACTTCTGGGCTTTCTTAACGTTTTGTTTAAAAAAAATGTTACCGAGGAAAAAAAGTAAAATTCGATGACGCCCAGCAAAGAACAACAGAAGGAATCAAATACCTTTTCTCGAAAACTACAATGACAGTTGCTTGTGGGATAGGGTCATCAATTCTCCCGTACAGCTGGGGGGTATTGGAATACCCCCCAGACCCCCCGGTGCTACGTTCCTCCCAAAATGTTCAGCCCTTAGAACTTTTGTGTATGCAATTTATCTCAGAAAAGGACAATTTCATGATACTTCCTACAAAATAATAATAACCATGGTCATTGTGGTAATTATGTGGAGGGAGAGCGTCGCACTGGGGGGTCGGGGGGGTATGGAATACTTCCCAGCACACGGAAGGAGTTAATTCTTTTTTTTCCGAAAACTACAATGACAGTTGCTTGTGGGATAGGGCCATTCAATTCGTCCCGTACAGCTGGGGGGTATTCCATACCCCCCAGACCCCCGTGCTACGTTTCCTCCCAAAATGTTCAGCCCTTAGAACTTTTTGTATGCAATTTATCTGCAGAAAGGACAATTCATAATACTTCCTACAAAATAGATAATAAACCATGTTCATTGTGGTAATTAGGTGGGGGGGGGGGGTGAGCGTCGCACCGGAGGTTGGGGGGGGGGTATAGAAACACTTCCCAGCACACAGAAGGAGTTTAATTCTTTTTTTCCCGAAAACTACAATGACAGTTGCTTTTGGGATAGGTATCCAATATCCCGCACAACTGCGGGGGTATTCCATACCCCCGGGTGCTACATTCCCCCCAACATGGTCATGCTTCATTTATCTCAGATAGGGATACTACAAAATAATAAACCAATATTCACTATTGTATGGGTAGAGCGACGCATCCGAGGGTCTGGGGAGAATGGTGTACCCCCAACACACAGAAGGATGAGATAAGTCTTCTGTTGCATTGTCCCACATGTAGTCATATATTCGTCCCATAGCGACTCAAATGTGTGAAACATTAACGCCCAATGGCGGAGAGTCAAACTGAATTTTGATCTATAAGTTTAACTTTTTTAGAAATTCTTTTAGCAGACAAATTTGTATGCATAGCATAATGTTAGCACATTAGCACAAAACATTCTGATGAATAAAGTTGTCGAAATAAAACATTGGGGGGATAGGATTGTGTACTGAGACAAACTTGCAAAGCAATGAATTGCGAGTTAATTTGGCCCGTGTATGATTTTTGAAATTATCAAAAAATACCAAAAAAACACGAAAGCGAAAGCGACATTTCACTGAAAATCTTAGGTTAGGTTTTAAGATACATGTTGATAGAAGATACATGTTGATAGAAATGAAAGAGTCTCTGGTGAGCCTATTTCCACTGTACAAATTGTGGAATGAAACGCACTTGTTTCTAAACGACAATTCTTGCAGATTATGCGATTAGTGAATATAAATGCTTCAAATTATCACTACGTGTGATTTATTGAATTTTTTAAACGTGAATTCCGTCCATCTGTCTGGACGTTCGGTATGGAAAAATCTATGGTTTCGGACTTACACGATTCAAACATTCCAAAAGGGAGCTCCATTACAGTACCCCCTTCTTGGCTTCACTGAACTGTGTTTGTAGGTTAAACTAAAACTATCTATAAGCAAGTAGTTAAATCGCGGTACGAATTCGACCTTTTTCTGTCAGTTCTTTCCGCGTTTCACGCCTTAGCCTACGGCATTCGAGATCGTATACTGAAGTAGTTTTCTGATTTAGTCAATCGTTCGAAGATAGAGGGACAAATTTCAAATAAACCCAAAACGTGCGGTAAGTTCCTCTACGACAGTAAAAAGGGTCGAGATCTCCGCACCTTTGATCGCATCGGGCAGCGTGCCTTGTGAGACTGTAATCAATCTTCCTTTTTTTTGTTTCAGGTGAACGTCCTTACAAATGCCATCTGCCCGAGTGCGGGCGCGCGTTCATACAGCTATCAAATTTACAGCAGCACCTTAGAAATCACGACGCTCAAGTAGAAAGATCGAAAAATCGTCCATTTCACTGTAACATATGCGGCAAGGGTTTCGCGACCGAGTCGAGCCTAAGAACGCACACCTCCAAAGTAAGCCATGTATGTAAAACACAATTTTTTATTATTTTTTGGGTACTTTTAAGTTTTTGGTGTTGGGTTATGTTCCTTTCTCGGCGCCGCCGCTTCGAAGGCGCGAGAAAGTGAAAATTGGGTGGTGTATATGTTGCAATTTTTAAGCGAAAAGTATAGTTTCCAGCACACATTTTTCATTTGTTATTTATTGGCAAGTCTTTTTTGTTTGGTGTGTTGTGCTAATTATTAGTCAAAATTTCCCAAAAAAAAAGTACAAATTCGCCGCAAGCGTGGCTGGAAAACTCGTTTCAATCACGATGCACCATCCAAAATAATTTCAATTACATTTTCGTTTGATTTTCTTAAGTCACACCTACCAATTCGCAATTTTGTTAAGTTTGCATTTTGTTACAATTAATTTGTTGTTGATTTTGGGTTATCGCTATTATGTGCTTAATTTTTAACTTGTAATTACTTGTTGTAACTGTATCGTTTTGGGTAGGAATTATATAATTAATTAATAATGAAAATACCAAGCCTAATTGCTTCTAATTAGGCACGAAAGCAAAAATTGTGTTGTGGTTCTGTACGCCGCGCCGGTTTAAATTTGTTAATTCAAGAAAAATTAATCGCTACAAACTAAAAATTAAGACAATTTTAAACTGTCGAAGTAATTGAGCCGTTTCGTCTTGGAATTGTGTCATTGTAACGCTCACAATTTTGTGAACTCATCGCAAAATTCAAACCCTCTTATTGCATTTAATTTAGCATAATTATGCTGGTTTTGTGTCAGTATAATCGCAATAGTCAATTAATTAAAGAAAACCAATTCTTGGAATCAGAAATGTATTTCACCTCGAACCCTTAGAAAGGGTCAAAATTCAACTTACTTGCGCAAGAATCCGTGGAATTCCTCCGTACTTGAATGTTTCACTTTTCTTGTTGAAGTTTGTCCAGAACAAATTCGGAATTCTAAAAAAACATGAAATGAGAAAAGTATTTCACCTCGAACCCTTAGAAAGGGTCCAAATCTAGGTCAAAATTCAACTTACTTCCTCAATTCTTGCACAGAAATCCGTGGAATTCCTCTGCAATTGAGTGTTTCACTCTGACTGGCTTGTTTGGTTGAAGTTTGTCCAGAACAAATTTGAAATTCTGAAAAAAAAACAGGAAATTAGAAATGTATTTCAATTCGAACCCTTAAGAAGGGTCAAAATTCAACTTTCTTCCTGAATTCTTGCACAGGAATCCGTGGAATTCCTCTGCAATTGAGTGTTTAACTCTGACTAGGTTTTTTTGTTGAAATTTGTCCAGAACAAATTCGGAAATCTGAAAAAAAACGGAAATTAGAAATGCATTTCAATTCGAACCTTTACGAAGGGTCAAAGTTCAACTTTCTCCCTCAATTCTTGCACAGGAATCCGTGGAATTCCTCTGCGATTGAGTGTTTCACTATGACTAGTTCTTTTTGGTGAAGTTTGTCCAGAACAAATTCGGAAATCTGAAAAAAAACAGGAAATTAGAAATGTATTTCACTTCGAACCCTTACGAAGGGTCAAAATTTAACTTTCTTCCTGAATTCTTGCACAGGAATCCGTGGAATTCCTCTGCAATTGGGTGTTTCACTCTGACTATAGTTCTTTTTGTTGAAGTTTGTCCAGAACAAATTCGGAAATCTGAAAAAAAACAGGAAATTAGAAATGTATTTCACTTCGAACCCTTACGAAGGGTCCAAATTCAACTTTCTTCCTCAATTCTTGCACAGGAATGAGTGCAATTCCTCTGCAATTGAGTGTTTCACTCTGACTAGTTTTTTGTTGGAATTTGTCCAGAACAAATTCGGAAATCTGAAAAAAAAAACAGGAAATTAGAAATGTATTTCAATTCGAACCCTTACGAAGGGTCAAAATTCAACTTTCTTCCTCAATTCTTGCACAGGAATCCGCGGAATTCCTCTCCAAGTGGGTGTTTCACTATGACTAGTTCTTTTTGTTGAAGTTTGTCCAGAACAAATTCGGAAATCTGAAAAAAAACAGGAAATTAGAAATGTATTTCACTTCTAACCCTAACGAAGGGTCAAAATTCAACTTTCTTCCTGAATTCTTGCACAGGAATCCGTAGAATTCCTCTGCGATTGAGTGATTCACTCTGACTAGTTCTTTTTGTTGAAGTTTGTCCAGAACAAATTCGGAAATCTGAAAAAAAACAGGAAATTAGAAATGTATTTCACTTCCAACCCTTACGAAGGGTCAAAATTCAACTTTATTCCTGAATTCTTGCACAGGAATCCGCGGAATTCCTCTGCAATTGGGTGTTTCACTCTGACTAGTTTTTGTTTGTTGAAGTTTGTCCAGAACGAACTTGGAATTCTGAAAAAAAAAACAGGAAATTAGAAATGTATTTCACTTCGAACCCTTACGAAGGGTCAAAATTCAACTTTCTTCATCAATTCTTGCACAGGAATCCGCGGAATTCCTCTGCAATTGGGTGTTTCACTCTGACTAGTTTATGTTTGTTGAAGTTTGTCCAGAACAAACTTGGAATTCTGAAAAAAAAACAGGAAATTAAAAATGCATTTCACTTCGAACCCTTACGAAGAGTCAAAATTCAACTTTATTCCTGAATTCTTGCACAGGAATCCGCGGAATTCCTCTGCAATTGAGTGTTTCACTCTGACTAGTTCTTTTTGTTGAAGTTTGTCCAGAACAAATTCGGAAATCTGAAAAAAAACAGGAAATTAGAAATGCATTTCAATTCAAACCTTTACGAAGGGTCAAAGTGCAACTTTCTCCCTCAATTCTTGCACAGGAATCCGTGGAATTCCTCTGCAATTGAGTGTTTCACTCTGACTAGTTTTTGTTTGTTGAAGTTTGTCCAGAACAAACTTGGAATTCTGAAAAAAAAACAGGAAATTAGAAATGTATTTCACTCCGAACCCTTGCAAAGGGTCAAAATTCAACTTTCTTCATTAATTCTTGCACAGGAAACCGTGGAATTCCTCTGCAAGTGGGTGTTTCACTATGACTAGTTCTGTTTGTTGAAGTTTGTCCAGAACAAATTCGGAATTCTGAAAAAAAAAACAGGAAATTAGAAATGTATTTCACTTCGAACCCTTAAAAGGGTCAAAATTCAACTTTATTCCTTAATTCTTGCACAGGAATCCGTGGAATTCCTCTGCAATTGAGTGTTTCACTCTGACTAGTTTTTGTTTGTTGAAGTTTGTCCAGAACAAACTTGGAATTCTGAAAAAAAACAGGAAATTAGAAATGTATTTCACTCGAACCCTTACGAAGGGTCAAAATTCAACTTTCTTCCTCAATTCTTGCACAGGAATCCGTGGAATTCCTCTGCAATTGAGTGTTTCACTCTGACTAGTTTTTGTTTGTT